ACTTTCAGTTTACCTATAGTCTAAAAAAAACTGTATTTCTTAGACTAAATCCCTCTAAATATATGGGGCCATGAGAGCAGAAGTGACCTAACCCGAAATTTTTTTTTTTGTGCTTTCCTAATTAAAATCGTCCCAAATGAGATCAACTTTTAATTGAAAGTCGCTTATTCTTTAATTTTAAGGTACAGAGCTACATACATAACGTATCATCAAAGTAAGTAATAATCGACCTTTACTTTAATATGTATTACATTTAAATATATTTTAAGAAGTTAGGTACAAGAAAAAAATTTGTGGGTTAGGCCACTTCTGCTCTTGTGGCCTCATATAATTAAATAGAAAGCCTTAGATCAAAAAGCCCCTTTCGTCATGAATAGCTTGAATATCTATCATTGTCATTCATAGTACTTGAATGCAATTGTTTTCCATAAAAATGATCTAACTTGTTTCGGTTGCCTATAAGTTTTCGTTCAGACGTTCTTAAAACTTATGTCATTGTGGCTGAGGATCCGCTCATCTATTAAAGATTCTAAAAAATTATTAATGGTTCTTTGTTAGAACAATAACGAGCCCTTGCCACCCCGGCAATTTTATCTTCCTCTGTGTGGACAGTAGGTACATAGTTGTCAAAAAGAGGTCAAAGTTGTCCGGGCGTTCCAATTATTCCAGTGGACACAAATGGCAATATTTCTCATTTCGACTTGACTTTTTGATTTTAAATGGCCTAAATTAAGAAACGCCACTTGGATTTTCCAAGGATATTCTAAGAGCCCAAAACACCGGGCGCAACACACCTTCCTCATATGTATTTGAATCAGTTAATTACCAAATGGAATAAGTCAGCAAATTTCATGTAGTTCAATAGATCTCTTTTATAAGAATCGAATTGCATCAATAATTCGTTTATTGAAAAATTTATTTATTTAGACAATTGAAACAAAATGTTTGCTTTATATCTCTCAGGGAAAATTTGTATGAAAATATGATTACAATTCACAAAACGGCGAACCTAACATGATAGATAATAGATAAGATAGATAGATAATGACATAGTTTAAATTTTTATATCTTAGCGACGAATAACCAAAATTAAACAAGTTTTTCAGCAAAAACTACAACCGACTTCAATTCTCCTATAAAAATTTAAGATTATTTCAATGATCGGAATTAAAACCATATAAGTATGGGACCACCTTTGAGGTAAAACCTTTTCTTTGAAAAAAGAATTATAGACAAATCTTCCGACGAATTGTTAACCTTCTCGTTTTTGTGAAGTGGGTTAACAAATTAAAAAGACTATTAAACCTTGCATGCTGGAGTAGTGCTATATATGGTTTAGATTTTGTGTCATAATCTTGCCTTAGGCTTGAAAATCTCATTTTCGATAGGTTCTTAACTTCGCTGGCCAACTCACAGAGTTCACATCAAACAGTAGCAGGGCTAATCAAAAATTGAAAAATGCTTAAGTGGATTTTTATTTTGAACCGTACCGAACCATCAATATAGCACTTAAAATCTATTGTTTGCCACATAATATTAGGCGCAGTAGTGATAGTTTGGGTAGGTAACTCAACAAATGAGTTGACTCTGCGACTCTAGCTCATTTCAGTGAAGTAGTATTACGCTAAATTATCGTCGCCAAAATTAACTAAATAAACAGCAGGGGGCCTTGAAGTATAAAGCATGAAAAAGTAACATTTGCAATGTGGCAGTGCGAGGAGCTTTTAACCACATGTTGCATGTTGTTAGGCACATCTGCTATTCTTTTGCAGATTTTTGGCGATCAATATTAGCTACGGAGAATGTAGGATCCCGACTGCTGCAACGGAATTAAAACTAATTCGTCCACTGGCCACTAGTAGGTTAACTTTTTTTAATCTGAGGCCAAAGAAGTTTTTATAATTTTTTTCTTTAAAAACTTTTACATATTTCAAACCTGCATAATATGAGTTAAAATCTGAACAACCATGTACATAATTTGAATAATAATACAAAAAATATTAATTTCCACAGGAGGGCGAGGCAGATGATGATGATGGCAACCGGCCAGAGAAGAGGTAACACTTGACCTATGTCTTTTTGTGGCCTTTTTATTAATTTCAAACTTTTTCTCTTCACAGCGAATGTTTTTTTGCAGGAAAATCCGCTGCAATGGGTCTTACCTTCAAGGATATTCCAGTTAAAACCAGCGAACGTCGGCCCAGTACAGATTCGGCAAAATCAACGAATAGCACACAAAGTAATAATTCTGATATACAGCAACATTTACAATCAATGATTGATCTACTTTATCCTGAGGAAACCTTGAAGATGGTAATTAAAAAAAACAACGTTAAAATTTTAAGTAAAAAAATTGAACATGCATTTACCATCAGGCAGTTAAATTGGAGTCCCAACGACCGAATCGCACAAGGTATCTAGTGATTGTATCACGTTGTTGTTACCGCCCTACAACCACCGATCGAAAGAATAAAATAATGCGGCATAATTCGACTAAAGCAAGCAATGCAATAACATCAGCAACCACTGTTACAATGCGTCAATCATCAACAGATAGCATACAGCGAACGACACCACAACAACAGTCACAAACTGAATCAAGTAGCGGTGGAGAGGAATCAACAGATGCTCATGAGAAGCGCTTGTCGAGCGTATCTTTGCCGGCGAAAGCATCTCAACACCAGAGCTTCAAAAGCGACTCTGATAAAATGAACGCATCGGGCGATAGCAAGGTATGTGAGGATGGTGTCGAAGAATCCTGTCTTTTGGGTATCGATTGCAATGAACGCACCACAATTGGCCTGGTTTTGCCAATACTTGCCGATACGACAATACATCTTGATGGCGATGGGTAAATTAAATTAGCCCAATTGTGAACTTTACTTATTATTAATTGACTATTTACTTTACCTCAACAGTGGCTTTAGCGTTTCAGTATACGGTAAAACACACATTTTTAAACCCGTTTCCGTGCAAGCCATGTGGTAAGTTCGAATTTCCGATGGCAAATCAACCACAATAATACCAATTATCGGTTTTAGGTCTGCATTACAAACTTTACATAAAGTATCGCAAAAGGCTCGTGAGAATAATTTTTATCCACGTGGTCCATCGCACGATTGGACTTCTTACTATGATAGTCACATTGAGTCAGAACAATCTTGCCTAAATGAATGGAATGCAATGGATTCACTAGAAAGCCGACGCCCTCCATCGCCAGATGCCATAAGAAACAAGTAAATAAATGAAAATTAATCTTATGCAACTTTACATAATTTCAGTGCTAATTTTCATTTTAATACAGACCAACTGCGAAGGAGGAAACGGAAAGCACAATCAAAATGAAGCTAAAGGAAATAATGATGTCGGTAGATTTAGATGAAGTGACTTCCAAATACATACGTGGTCGACTTGAAGAGCTTCTGGATATGGATTTAGGCGAGTTTAAATCGTTTATCGATGAGGAAATGTTAACAATACTAGGTCAAATGGATGCCCCAACAGAGATATTCGATCACGTTTATCTTGGTTCGGAATGGAATGCCAGTAATTTGGAAGAGCTGCAAAAGAATGGGTAAATTGTTCATGTCTCCTAATGCATATATGTAACTTACTATAATTTTATTTTAGAATACGCCATATTCTGAATGTAACACGAGAGATCGATAATTTTTTTCCTGGCGTCTTTGATTATTTCAATGTGCGAGTTTATGATGATGAAAAGACGAATCTGTTAAAGCACTGGGACAACACATTTCGTTACATAACACGTGCCAAATCGGAGGGCTCCAAAGTACTCGTTCACTGTAAAATGGGTGTCAGCCGATCAGCGTCGGTTGTAATCGCCTATGCTATGAAGGCATACAATTGGGAATTCAAACATGCACTTCAACACGTTAAGGAACGCCGAAACTGCATAAAGCCTAATAAGAATTTCCTTAATCAGCTGGAGACTTACCGTGGCATGTTGGATGCAATGAAGAATAAGGAGAAACTGCAGCGCAGTAAAAGCGAAACGAATTTGAAGAGCACAAAGGACGCGCGCCTGCTGCCAGGCAGTGAGCCAACGCCACTCATACAGGCGCTCAACCAGTCCAAATCAAAATCAACCGGAGGACAGGAAGATGTGACCTGTGGGGATAGCGCAGTGGAAAGTGCCGACAGAAGCATTATAAGTACTAAAGGCGTGGGACGGTCTAAAACCCCAATTGGCAATGACGGTGGCGGCACGAATGAAGCCAAGCAACGTCG